CAACATTAGACTGTTTTTGATTCTAGGTTGGGATAAAATGAGATAGTTTGAAGAGAGATGCCTGAATGATGGCAGTCCTTACTTGTGGGATCGGTTGGATGCTGAAAAACTGTCTATTAGTAAATCCTCATTAATAGCTCATTCCCAAGGAAACATAGTAGCTATAGCATCAACTCTCAATGTCTAGTCCATGAAACCCTGGGAAGGGAGCAGGACAATGGGAGACCCTTTTAGGGTCTTTACCGAGACTGTTTTTCTTTTCATAATAATACCAATAATGTCACTTCCATTTTTATTTTGTTGACACATGCACTAATGCCACAAAACCAATTGTTAGAAAAACTGATGGCACCTCAGCACAAATCACTGTGAGGGCTCCACTGTATCACCTAATACTTGAAATTTCACATAAGAATACCCTTTTTTAAAGATTAAACACATGCAGTTTGCAGCAACATGGATGGAGCTAGACGGGATCGTGCTCAGCGAAATAAGTCAGAAAAAAAAAGAAAAATACTGGATGGTCTCACTCATAGCAGGAATTCAGAAAACCTAAATAAGGGACCACGAAAAAGACTAATTAATACAAAGTAAAAATCAAAATCAACAAGCAACTATAAACCAGAGACATACTACGGGGGCGGGGGGGTGCGGGGAGAGGAAGGATTAGGGTCAAAATACGGGGGGGTGCAATTGTATGGGGAACATAACCGAAATGAAAATGCATATATGGTGCAAAAATGAAAAATGATGTAAGAATTATATGAAATAAAATATTAAAAAATGAATAAATAAAAATGGGAAAAATCCAAAGGGGAGGGGAAAAAAGGAATACCCTTTTATAAAAAAGGTCCTTAATAAACTATTAATTTTATTTTTAATTTAAAATCTTTTTTTTTATTTATGCATACAAGAGCTGGGGTGCAAGCCGGAGGTGTGGGGTGGGGGTGAGAGGATTAACCAGAGACAGAGTGGGGAGCAGAACAGGCAGATCTACTGAAATACACTGCTGATGGGAGCAGCGGGCGAGTCAGGAGAGGTCTGCTGTGCCATGTGGGTAGCTCCCTGGCCAGGGATTGAACTCGTGCTGCAGTGGCTGTGGATAGCTTCATAGGTTGTGTCTTAACACATTGCGCCACCAGGGAGGCCCTAAATTAAAATCTTGATCTTCAAGTGAACGTTGCTTTAATATTATGTGTAATGCAATGGGAAGTAACACATAAGGGGGTTCTGCTGCATACTGATGGTTATCTTAAGTTAATGTGCTTATGAAATTGCAATCTGAACAGGAATTACCTTGTTCATGGAACACCATTTATAGTTGTAAGAATTGCTGACAAACTATGACTCTTCATACTTGGATATTTGGCAGACATTTTCTTGAAAATGGACAAAAGTGAGAATGTAAATTCAAAGAAAACACCTGACAAATTGTTGCCAATGATAAAATTTGGAACACCTTAGTGAAAATGAGAATTTTGGAAAATTGTTACCTACTACACTGAGCTTAGCACCTTCCTAGTATTTACTGATAAAATCATGGTGGTTTAATAAATGTGACATTTAAATATTGTAAAATGAAATAGGTCAGTGATTGAAAGATCCACATGACTTAACACATTTTTCATGTGACCAGTGCATATGTATGTGTTAACTTTCAAACTTCAAGGTAGATTAATGAATTTTAATGTGATCCTACAGGGTTATTGATTTAGTTTCATATTTGACCTTGCAATTAAAGTCTACCCTGTGGAGTTTCAGTGTATAGTATTAAAGAGAGAAAATACATAGTTATTGAACAAGGTACTAAAATACTCCTTTTCCCACTATTTGTGAGAAATCATGGATTCTTTCATGTATATCAACTAAGCAACATACTGCAACAAGTTAAAAATATCTGCAAAAATATAAACCACTGTGCTTACTAAAAATATTTTATTTTGGAAAAGTTGTTCATGAAAGTGTTATATTAAAATGATAGCTGTATTACTGCCATTTAAACACAGATTAATATTTTTTCAATTTCTTAGTTTGATTTGTTTGGCAAATTTGTATATTTTTAACCTATTACATACAGAAGCTGGTGGGGGGAGGGGTGTCCCTCTGCTGCAGTCTGAGTTTGATCCCCATCCAGGGAGGTGACCCATATGGCACAGCAGACCTCTTCTGTCTTAACCGCTACTCCTGTCTCACCTGCTGTTCCACTTAGCAGTGTATTTCAGCGTATCTGCCTGTTCTGCTCCACACTCTCTGGTGAATCCTCTCTCACCCCGCCCCCACCCCTCTGGAGTATACCCCAGTTTTTCTATGCATAAATACATAAAAGTAAATTTTTTTAAAAAAAAATCTCTTTGGGACTTTACCATATTTTTCAAAAGTATAAAGTGATCCTGAAGCTCAAAAACCTGAGAAGATCTAATCCTACTATTTTAAGATTACCTTACTGTGAGAGGATATGGAAAGAGTAGAGTCTTATATTTTCACCTATGTACTTATTTATTATTTTATTTATTTATTTAATATAAGCGCTGGGTACAGTCAGAAGCGCGGGAGGGTGAGAGAATTCACCAGAGCCAGAGCGGGGAGCAGAGCAGGCAGACTGACGAAGTACACTGCTGAGGGGAGCAGCGGACAGCAGGAGAGGTCTGCGCTCCATGTGGGACCCTCCTCCAGTGGCCGGGGAGCAGCCGGGGATCGAACTGGTGCTGCAGAGGCTGCGGGCAGCTTTGCAACCCAGCGCTCAACCGCTGCACCACCGGGGAGGCCCCTTATTTATTAATAATATGGTAAATTTCTAATTTGAAAGCAATCAGTTCAGAGGATTCAACTATATGTTAAAATTTTTTTGTTCTTCCTAATGTCAGGAAGACATTATTATTTATTTTGTTTATTATTGTGTTTTCTTTTGATGGTTCAGATAGTTTTCCCTCATGTGTCTTCCTCCCTCTTGCCTATACATTACTGCCACCAGACAGGCCCTTCTGTTTCCCTCCCTTTTATATATCCAGTCTAATCCTGTTGGTTTTTCTCCCTCTCAGATTCTCCCTTAGCTCATAGCCTGTTATGTCCTTCCCTGTAAGACTGAGGTACTTGCCACTATTTTCTCTTAACTCTGTTTGGCCTGTCTTCATTGGGAATTTTTTTACCCCAATTATTTTTTCAGGCTAAAATCCTTTGAGAGGATTTCTGTCATTAGTTAAAATATGTGCTATTTTTACTCTGGTCATTGTATGTCTTTGATGGTCTATTCAGTGTATTGTTTTTATGTGAAGAGGAAGAAATGTATACGTGTGTACATATAGATGACTTTCAGAGGTTTACTTGTGCCTGCATTGCCCTAATTTTGCCAGTAAGATCTCATGTTTGCTTGCTGTAACTGTAACCCTCAGGCACTGATGTGGTTCAGAATATTGGAGAGGGAAAGGAATACTATTGTAGAAAAGTCTTCCCAAGTAACTGATTAAATTACTAAACCCTTGACTGGGAGATAAATAATTGGTTAGCAGTGCATCAAAAGCTGCTTCAGCTGTGTTCTTCTGTGAAGCTTTGTGATTCTGAGTGCCAGATTTTTTTGATTCCCATAGGAGGCAGCCTTCTGTGCTGTGATTCTTGCCCTGCTGCTTTTCATCGTGAATGCCTGAACATTGATATCCCTGAAGGAAACTGGTATTGCAATGACTGTAAGGCAGGCAAAAAGCCACATTACAGGGAAATTGTGTGGGTAAAAGTTGGACGATACAGGTAAGTGATCATGAAGGAATTTGGTACTCATTTTCTTTACAGTCTCTGTTTCTTAAACAGTGCTTACTAGCTTTTTAAAAAATTGTATTCCTGATGAGGCAAGGTTCTCCTGTATCTCCATTTAATTTTCTATTATAGAAGAAAAAAACTTCTGTTTTATGATATATGAATAATACATGTTTTCTATAGAAAATTCATTAATGAAAATAAGCCCATAATCTCACAAACAAGGAAAATAACAACATTTTGGCATATTTACTTGCAAATACACCAGTACATATACCCTCAAAATAATTGGCCTTTTAAGTTTGTACCCAGGTTTGTGTCTTGCATTTTCTTTTTTTTTCTTTTTTTTTTTTCCATGATCTGTGATTGTTTTAATTATCTTAAGCCTTATGGTCACATGACTTACACATTTGTGCTGATGGTACATCTATGTTAATGAGCTGGCAAAAGCACCATTACCAATCACACATATATGGTAGTGCTGTAAGTGTATCTACCTTTGAATAGCTGTTTAAGAGACAATCCTGAACTGTATCTTAGTAAAGAATTCTACAAGTCTACTATCTCTTGTCAAGCATGAGTTTTAAAAGTATTTGAACATATAGATTACCTATGTGAGAAGCATTTTCTTTTTTTTTTAATATTATTAAACTAAAATGCCTTTCATTAAATAAAAGGCAACATTTTAGGTACAGGAAATTTTAATCAAACAGGCATCTTAAGACCAAAAAGATAAAATGGGCACTGCCAGCTTATCTTCTGCCCTTGTCTTTACTAGGCTAATAACACAACTTGAAACACAAATGAGTCTTGGTCTGTATGTGAGAAGCAAAGGGAATTTCTCAGTATTTAAATATATTAATATAACCAGTTATATAAAATCTAAATATAAAACCAATTTCCTACAGATTTGGAGATGGCATTCACCATCTCAGTTAAAAGTCACTAATCAAGTACAATTAGATCTTAGAAAGGGAAACAGTCACTGTACTTGACGAACCGTAACTGCTATCAAAATTCAAAACACCACATCTTATTCATTTAACCACAAGTCAATCTTATTTAAATCAGGACTGTCAAACAAAAAAAATTCTATCAGCCATTCATGATCTGAATTCTGGTGTATGAACTCAATTTAAATATGGTACACACAAAAAAGTCATGAGACATTTTTCCTTTATAATAAATAAGGCATTGCCAACTATTACTCAGTAGTAGCTTTCTTGAGATAAGCTATCAACTCTGCCCTTTCTGACTACTTCTTAATGCCAGTGAAGATCATTTTTGTTCCAGGGATGTACTTCTTGGGATTCTCCAAATACTCCATCAGTGTGTCCTCTTTCCAGGTGATGCCTTTGTTCTTGTTGGCATCTGTGTAAGAAAATCCAGGGGCCTGACCTGTCTTTCGCCCAAAGAGACCATAGAGATTTGGCCCAGTTTTGTGCTTGCCTCCCTTTTCCACAGGATGGCACTGGGCACACTTTTGAACAAAAATCTTCTTGCCCTTCTCAATGTCACTCATTTTTAAATCGCTTTTGTCGCGGGCGACACGAAGGTTAGAGCTCCCAAGCCGGACATCCTGCTCCTTAAGTCCAAGGACACGCCGGTCCGCGACTATGTACCGGTGTTGGTGCAACCGAACTCGCTCCGCTTGCATTTTCTTTTAAAAATTATTTTTATTGAACTTGGAGCGTACAAAAGAATATCACAACATGTGTGGTTTTATTTTGAAAAATAGCAAAAAGAACACGTGGTATATATACCTCCTAATAAAAAAATAGAGCATTACTCATACATTTGAGGCTTCCTTCATGCCCATATCTGAACTCACCCCATAGGTCACTGTTGTATTATATTGTTTTCTTACCCCTTTGTCATGTGTGTTTTAGATCTTTATCTTAAGGAATTTCTGTTGCTGTATTTTCCTGCAAGTTACTTTTTTATTCACTCTCATATTCCTGAGATTGACTATGGTTAGCTAAATGATGAAGTGCATTCACATTCTGCTTTAATAGCCAAGGCCAAACTGTATTCCTTTCTGTGCCTTTTTTTTTTTTTTTTTTTTTTTTTTTTTTTGGCAGGGGGTTAAGGGTAGTGGTTTCTTGGTGTCATTATTCTGTATGTCTAACAGTTACTAAAATTGACTTTTTTAAAGGCCAAATAGTATTTCATTGTACAGGCATACTTCAGAGATATTGAAGGTTAGATTCCAGGCCACTACAATAAAGCAAATATTGTGATAAATCAACTCACACCAATTTTTTTGGTTTCCCAATACAAACAAAAGTTATGTTTATGCTGTGTTATGGTCTATTTAAAGTATGCAATTGCATTATTTCTAATAAAGCATTATACAGATGTTAATTAAATGTGACACAGAGACACAAAGTGAGCACATGCTGTTGGGAAGATGACACTGGTAGACCTCCTCATTGGAGAGTTGCTACAAGCACAACAAAGCAAAACATGCAAAATGAGGTATGCCTGTGTAGTGTACCAGTTATTTATATAATTTCCCTTAATGTTGGGCTTTTAGATTGTTTCCAAGGTTTCATTCTTGTAGATGACACTGCAGTGAACATTATAGTCACAAATCATAGTCCTCTTAATAGATTTTTTCCTAGTAGTATAGCTAAGTTGAAAGCAGTGTGTATGTGTATAAAAACGAGGGTGGGTGGGTGGGTGGGAGTTTTCAAGCTTGTAGCATATACTACTTGTTCGTTCTGTAGTTAAATAAATGGTAGGAATTTAATATGGACAGTCATTGTTCCTTTTTCCCCTTCTAAAAGTATTTTCCTAGTGCTTTTACAGCTTTCTTGAGGTTACCTTATTTTCACTTTTTCCAGGTGGTGGCCTGCTGAGATCTGCCATCCTCGAGCTGTACCTTCCAATATTGATAAAATGAGACATGATGTGGGCGAGTTCCCTGTGCTCTTCTTTGGATCTAATGACTACCTATGGACTCACCAGGCCCGAGTCTTTCCCTACATGGAGGGGGATGTGAGCAGTAAGGATAAGATGGGCAAAGGAGTAGATGGGACATATAAAAAAGGTAACAGTATTTTTTTTGTTTTTAAGGAAACCTTTTTTGCCTGAATATCTGTTGTGTTATGTGTTAGAATTACATGTGTTAGAATTCATACATGCTCAGGCAGCTGTGTTCTGCTCTCTGGAGGCAGTATAGGACAGCATGTGGCTACAGCTATAGGATTTTGCAGGGAGGGTGACCCAGAGTAAACACTAGTTGCTCAAAAGGGCTAGAGTGTCTAGCAGAGCCATGTTTGTAACGAGAAGGTTTCTTTCCTTTTCTTTACTTTTTTTCTTAAAGCTCACTGAGAAGAAATAAAATTACCCCCAAATTATAGAGAAAATGAGATAGTAAAAGTCAAAGCATACATGTTTGGAATCAATTTTTTTAATAAACTGTCCTCTCAATGAAGGAGTAGGGTCAGCTAGAAGCCAGGAAGGGTGGTGTCAATCTTGAGCCTCAGTTTTTTCTTACTATGTAGAGAATGAAAGTTGCTCTGAGAATTCAGTGCAATTAAAAAAAAAAAAAAAAATCAACCTGAAGGGCACATAGTTATCCATCAGTGAAAATTACTTTCTTCCTTTAGCAATCAATCTGGGTATTTTTTGCTATTTAAATATATTCACATTCTGAAGTGTAAGATTTTTGTCTGCATGATAAGGTTAAGAGGAATTCTTACCAAGTGAAACTTCTTGGTGAGGTACAAGAACATTCTCAGTAAGTGAGACTTCCCTAGGGAACCAGGTATAGGACTTACTAACAGTTCTGTATAAGCACTTATGGAATGTATAAGCACTTATACTGTGGGATCTTTGGTTTTGAATTTTTGTAGTCTCAGATGGTCAGGGACCAAATGATCAACATCTGTGCTTACACAGAGCTGACCACTGCTGAGACTAAGGAAGAAGTTGACTTGTTGGGATTATCACAGGTCTGAGTCTGCTGAAGCTTTGGGATTCTGTTCTTTTTTATGCCTCTAACCGGGCTGGTTGGGTGCCTCTGCCTTCAGGGGACAGATGTTTCTGTGGGGTATTTGGTCACAGATACCAGCTGTCAAAATACTATTTGGTGAGTTTTGTGGCAGAACAAAAGGAAGTATAACTGAGCTGGGGGTGGCAGTTTGGAAATTATGAATGACTTTTTTCCTAATGTACTTTGAAGAATGAACCATAATAACAGTTAACCCCTTATGGGCCCTAGTTAAATATTGTTTTCTGATTTAAGTCGTTGTGGCAAACTAAGTTAGATGCCATTATTCCTTATCTCATAGATGAGGAAACTGAGGCACATAAAATTTCTTGTGTAAGGTCCCATTGCTGGTAAGAGAATGAGGAAGGTTTCAAGCTTTAGTAGTTGGGCTGCAGAATCCAAACTCTTAACCCATATACTGACTGTGAAGAAGTTAGCAATTTAAAGTGTTGTAACATGAAGACAGCACATGTTGACTTTGACAAGCTGATTTAGTAATCTCCAAGTATTCAATTTAGAGGAGCACTGGGCTGAGCAGTTTTAGAAATCTTAATCTGGGTAGAATGTTGAAACCATAGACGGTGAGAGGCTGCACCCAGGACTATCCATGAGATGACTGTATCAGTAGTTTCTAGTAGAGACAACAAGACTGCTACAAGGGGAGTGGAGGAGATGGTGGGCGCTGCATCAATGTTAATAGATAGATTAGGCAAGACATGCTAAATAAAATAATAGGATGAAGGAAAGAAGGATCTTAGAACAATTTATAGGACTCCAGGCAACACATACTCTGCTAGATGACAGGGAAATGGTGGCGGGGGGAAAGATGGATTGGAGGGAAAATTTTTAGAACTGACAGCAAGGGGAAAGCCACAGAGAGAGGAAAAACTTGAAATTCTTTTCACTGATTTTAACCTAGTTAAGGAATAATGATTAAAGTTTAATTTACTTTTTTTTTTTTTTTTTTAAAGATTTATTTATTTATTATTTATACAAGCACTGGGTACAGTCAGAAGCGCGGGAGGGTGAGAGAATTCACCAGAGCCAGAGCGGGGAGCAGAGCAGGCAGAAGGACCGAAGTGCACTGCTGAGGGGAGCAGCGGGCGCGTCAGGAGAGGTCTGCGCGCCATGTGGGACCCTCCTCCAGTGGCCCGGGAGCAGCTGGGGATTGAACCGGCGCCGCAGAGGCCGCGGGCAGCTTCGCAACCCAGCGCTCAACCGCTGCGCCACCGGGGAGGCCCAAAGTTTAATTTACTTTTAAAATTTTATTTATGCATATAAGAACTGGGATCTAGGCCAGAAGTGTAGAGGGTGAGAGGACTCACCAGAGACAGTGGGAGCAGAACAGGAGGATCTACTTAAATACACTGCTGAGGGGAGCAGCGGGCAAGACAGAACGGTCTGCTGTGCCATGTCGCTTAACTCCCTGGCCGTGGATGGAACTCATGCTGCAATGGCTGGCAATAGCTTGATAGCTATAGCTATCCAGGGTTACCTCCCTGCCCTACCATGGAGGCCCAGAACTACAATCATATAAAAGTATAGGACTTTGGGGCTTCCCCGGTGGTGTAGCGGTTGAGCGCTGGCTTACAAAGCTGCCTGCAGCCTCTGCAGCGCTGGTTCGATCCCTGGCCTGCCGACGAGGGTCCCACATGGCACGCAGACCCCTCCTGCCACACCCTCTGCTCCTCTCAGCAGTGTACTTCGGTCCTTCTGCCTGTTCTGCTCCCCGCTCTGGCTCTGGTGAATTCTCTCACCCTCCCGCGCTTCTGACTGTACCCAGTGCTTGTGTAAATAAATAAATATATCTTCAAAAAAAAAAGTATAGGACTTTGATGCAGATTAGTTACTGTAGTAAAGATCTGTTCTTCATTAAAATGAAAGGTTGGTATTTATAAGTTGACTCTTACAAGAGTAGGAGAGGTGCTTTAATGAATAAACAAGAAGGAGAAGGACATTTCAACTTGGAATTTTTTTTCCAGGGGACCATGGGTGTGTTACCTGGGCACCTTGGAGGCAGGATGTTTTTGGAAATGAGGTTCAGGACTGAGGAAAGAATTAAACTTTAAGGCAGTGATTTTACTGAGACGATGTAATCTAGTTGTCCTTAGGAGATGTTCTGTGTGGGTTTTTCAAATCATTTGGCTGTTTGGTTTTTGTTTTATGTTTTCCTCTGAGGTTGGTTTAGTAATGGAGTATGCTTTTTGTCTTAGTGCTATCTATACCTGATTACTCTGGGGACTGTAATTTACTTGAAAATAAGTTATATTTTATTCTTTCATGTAGGGTTGGTTGATTTTTGTTTGAAACATGGAATTTCCCCAGTTTAAAAGGGGAAAGAATGCAAAATAACACCCAGAAATTTTTGAGTGACTTGTGCTATGTGTTTTCTTAGCTCTTCAGGAAGCTGCAGCAAGGTTTGAGGAGTTAAAGGCCCAAAAAGAGCTAAGACAGCTTCAGGAAGACCGGAAGAATGACAAGAAGCCACCACCTTATAAGCATATAAAGGTGAAAAAACCCCTCAGGAGACTCCCATCTCTATGACAGATCCTGTAGCTTGTCCTCTTCCCATTCTGTTCATCATGAAAATTTGAAACACAATCATAGTTACTTTTAAGTAGCAGTATTAGCTTGAAAAAAGTGTGAG